GTCGTCTTCCCTCCTCCCTCGTCGTTATCGTCGTCGGCGCCGCCGTCCTTCCTCTTTCTTCGTCGTTCGCGTCGTCGCCGTCCCTCCTCCCTCGTCGTTGTCGTCGTTGTCGCCGTCGTCGTCCTTCCTCCTCCCTCGTCGTCGTCTTCGTTGGCGACGTCGTCGTCGTCTTCGTCGTCGTCGGCGTCGTTGTCGTCGTCGAAGTCGTCGGAGACGTCGTCGGCGTCGTCGTAGTCGCCGTCGTCGTCGTCGTCGTCGTCGTCGTCGGCGTCGTTGACGTCGTCGTCGTCGTCGGTGTCGTCGTTGTCGTCGTCGAAGTCGTTGGAGACGTCGTCGTTGTCGTCGTAGTCGGTGTTGGCGGCGCCATCGTCGTCGTTGTCGCTGTCGTCGTCGGCGTCGGTGTCGTGGCCAAGTGTCATGTGGTACGTACCGTCACGGTCTTGTCTTAAGAGGTCTTGCGACCAAGTTGCGAGTGGGAGGGTGGGATGTTTGCACGAGCAGTGGAGAGGACAGCTTCAAGACGGTCAAGGATTAATTCCACCACATACATTGCACCACAGATTGCGCAGCATATGTTCCATACGCGCCACATGCACTGTACCAAATGCTCCACATATATGGCACAACTGGTGATCTCCTAAGTCGCACCGCGCAGCATCGATTGCACAATCTAGGTTGCACCACGTAGATAGCTCGACAGAAGTTGTTTCACACATGCTCTTCTGCGTGAACACAAACAAGATCTGCCCGCCTGACATATTCGTCCACCTTCGGGATGTGCAATGTATTATGTGCATACTTCTGCCCTATCGTTCATTTAAACTCTGACCCCATACAACCCCAACTAGGCCGATATCCCCCCTTCTCATCCTCGCCAAACGATGTTTACGTGCGCGCACTCGTTTATCACAAACCATCCATATGCAATAATCCAGTTGCAAAAAACCGGGGCGAACTGCACACGCGCGCGTTGTCACGTGCGCATGCGCAGACCCGTCAAACACCGCCGTTTTCGCAAGGATTTCAGAATCGAGTGGCCCGGACACACATAAAATACGTGTGGGTTTGCAGCATCCTTGTTTGAGAAAGCTCTGCGAACGCGCTCTGGCGAATTCTCGAGAGAACCAAATGCTTTCGCTACCCCCATAAAGTGCAACCAAACGAGCCAGTCGCGCGCGCAGACTGGAATCATTCGAACGTCCTTGCGCGCTTTGGGGGGAAGGCGGGCGCAATCCCTGTCAACTAAGACCATGAGAGCCATTCGCGCCCGTCGGCCGCGCCCGCATGTCGAAATCCTTACAAAACTTTCATTACACCAGAGAAAACCCAAATCAGCGGAAGATTTGAAAATTCGTCATATGGATCTTGGTATCGATTGTGAAATGATGCTGGAATCGATAGAAGACGATTTAAGATCGATCGGGGTACCGAAAATAACACAGATTCAATGAAATCGATAGGGAGATCGATCGCGAGATTGCTCGTGCGATCTCTAATGAGATCGTTTGCGAGATCGATTGGGGAATCGATTGTGAGCTCGATGGTGAGATTGATAGAGAAGTGGGACATGAAATCGGTGCTGAGACCGATCGATAAGAAGATCTACCAAGAACCCGGGAAGCTAGGAACCTCGCCGCCAACCGAAATCGGCCTGGGAACCGGGAGCCCGGGAACCCCGGAACCGGGAACCGGGGAACCCAGCGTGCGACCAAAATCGGCGGGAAACTTTCGCCAAATCCTTCAATCTCCGCTAGGACCCCTTCAGTGCAAGCACTGATTGGGCAATCACCGACACGCGAACACCATCATAGTCATCGGCGCGATCAGCATCTGCGCAGTCTTTGGCCGTACCATCGTCATCGTCACCCTCGCCTCCATCATCGCTACTATCATGATCGCGTCTGCCGTTGTCCACGTCGCCATGAAACCGCGCCCGCATGAACCACCGACTCGCATTGAACTATCCGCGCGTCAGCGCGGCCTGCGAAACACGCAACGGTGAGCGCCACTGCGGCCGCGTCGGTTGCGCCAGACTCGCTGTCCGCTCTGCTTGAAAGCCTGCGCGCGCTAGCGCGGCCGCAGCGTAGCACCAGCCAGCGCCAAGCAGTCATCGCAATCGCCGCCGCATGGATTTTACAAACCAAGTTGCGGGTGGGTGGGTGGGATGTTGGCACGAGCAGAGGACTTGACAACTTAAATGTCGGCAGGGTGAATTGTGCCACGTAGATTTTTTCCCTGGCGCATTCTGGACAGGCTTCGGACCCATGGGGATCAGGCATCCAGCTTGCAGGAAACCGCCAAATATGTTCCGACGTCGGCACCGGCAAGGGCCCTCCAGTCCATCACTGGCACACGGAGCCTCCTTTGCCAAAGTATCGGCAAGGCGGAGGGAGAGGAACGAAAGGGGAGAGAGAGAGCCGGGAGCCGGAGGAGACAAGGGAGGAAAGAGCAAAGCCACGCCTCAAGTCGAGGATCGGCCGGTACATCCAGAATGTCACATTGCCAGCTGCAACGTGACCAAAGAATGGCTGCGGCGGCACCTGTGGATTACCCTACAGGGTCAGCGCCAAAGCAACTACAAGAGAGGCACGCAGAGCGAATGAGCAGCAAGACGATAAAAACAACATCTGGCGGCACCGTTGCCGGGTGGACGCTGGCGTGTCGCACCAAGCGCGGATGGGGGGCAAGAGAAGGAAAGAGACGAGAAAGACAACAAGAAAGAGGGAGAACAAGTGTTGGGTACCACGTAGATTGCTCCAAACAACTAGCACCACGTAGATTGCACGATTTGTTTCCGCGCCTGCGGCGCGCATTTTATTCGCCCACAATATCCATTGCAGTACATGTATTGCATCACGCAGGTAGCACAACATACATTGCACAACCTAGTTTGCACCATATATATATATACACATACGAATACAGATATCGCACGATCTATATGGCACAGCGTAGATAGCACCGCAAATATTGCACAGCATCGACTGCAAAACAGAAATTGCTGGTCACACGCTGGTTGGGATCCACGCTGACTAACGTTGAGCTCTCATGTCTCGAAACATAAGAATTGCGAATCCCCTCACCTGGTGCCCACGGTAGGTTTCAATTGAAGTGCCCCCGCTGGCCTCGAACAGTGTGTTGTTATCATGTGTATATATATACACATATCAAAACAACACACGGACCGTCTTGAGCCTCAAGCTGGGCTGTTGGCCCCAGTTCGCAACATCAACGTTGGATCTTGCCGAATTCGTCATCATAACTTATTCGAAAGCGCGTTCTACCGCTGGACCTCCTCACATGCACTCAGGAATCGTGCTCTCGCTCAGGACTACTTTGCAGTTTACTCAGGCGCCGCACCCTCGACGCCCTGGAATCGAGCTCTCGCACGAGACACCCTCAGAATTTACTGAGGGCTCGCGTTCTCGCTTGCAAATTCTTCGCAATGTACGACGTTCGCTTCTATGCCCCGACAGCCTGGCCCGCACATCAGGGCCGCCCACCCGACCACCCTGTTGGAGTCTACCCGCCCGACCTTGTCAGGATTCGCCCGTTCGCCTCCTTGAAGCTGGCCCGCCTGGTTCGATGTCCCGCCCGGCCTGCTCGATAGGGGCCCGCCCGTCCGACCCGCCTGCTATGGTCCACCCGCCCGACCCGCCCGCCAAGGTCCACCCGCCCAACCTGCCCTGTACGGCCCGCCCGTCCGCGCGCTTGGAAGCCCTCCCGCCTGTTCTAAAAGCCCGCCCGCCCGACCCGCCCGTTAAGGTCTGCCCGCCCCGCCAGCCAGTTTGGGCCAGCCAGCCGGACCCGTCCGTCAGGGCCCGCTCCCCCAAATCATTACTCCTCTCTCCTGCCCCTCCTGGTAAATCTTCGTCGCCCTCAGCCCTCCTCCTTCCCTCTTGCCCCCTTTTTTCGTGTTTCCTCCTCCTTCATCGCTTTCTCCCTTTTCCTTTTCCCTCCTCCTCCTCATCCTCCTGCTTTAGAGGCCGCACCAAATACATGTGGCAGGCTATGGACATTTACCCTCAAAGGGACGACTATCGAAAACGAACTGGGTGGGTATCCAAGGTTTGGGGTATACATGTCGCCCCGCCGTTTATTTTCAACTCGCCCCAGTGGACGACGCCGCCACCACGGCAAACCCACGGCAAATCCTGCGCCCCGCGCCCAAGAGGACGAAGCCGGAACCGCGGCAAACCCCACGGCGAGCCCACCTCGCCCGAGGCGGCATTTGCTCTGGTGATCGAGGCGCCCTCCCAATGACGTGAGGCCGCGCGTCGGAACATACGGCGCGGCGACACAAATTGATTGACGTGCGAACAATCGTGCATTCGCTGTTGGTGGGGAATCTTAACCGCTGAACGATTCGTATTGTTGGCCCCCCTTCTGTTTGTCTGGGCGGTCTCCCCTCCGCGCCCGCTGCGTTCTCTAGCGTCTCCTCCGCGAGGCTCAAGCTCACATGCTTCGGGCCAACAACAACCCGCCCTCTCGAGATCTCTTCTCTTTGCACTCATGACCCGTGCCCTTTTTTGTTTGTTCGTCGTCGTCGTGAACGTGGCTACAAAGACCCCGATCCTCGATATTCGATGCTTGACGGTCACATGCAGCTTGAGCTGGAGATGGTCAAGTGCCTCGTAAGAGGCGTTGTCCAAGCATTTCTGTGCAGGGATCTGGGTAAGGGAATATCGGGCTCTCGAGGAACGAAGTATTTCTCCCATGAAGGGGGAGCTATCATGATGGATGCATGCCGAATGCGGAAGTATGAAACATGTGGGTCATGTAGCTGGCTTATCGTTTCCTGATGACCAGTCATTGCAATGTCTCCTTATTGCATCTTCAGGTGGGCATGGGGAGGAACAAGAGAGGGATGGAAGCAGGACGTGAAGAAGCAAAGGGAGAAGCAGGAGAAGAAAGATAGGGGAGGATGGTAAATCCGAGGATGTTCGAGGTTCGAAGTTCGACGGGTCTGCTCCTCCTGCATGCTTTCCGAACCAGCCCGCCTACTGAAGGGCCGGCGCAGCAGTCGTACACGTCCTTCACCTTGGGGTGGACGGACGTCGCCGACGTCTTCCGCCTCCGCCTCTGCCTCCTCCTTTTCCTCCTCCTGCTCTCCTCATGCTGCTGTTCCTGCTGCTCCTGCTGCTTCTCCCTACCCCTCTTCGCTCTCCAAGGCCTTCCTCCTCCTCACTCTCCGACTGCTCCCCTTTCCTCCTCCATCCCTCCTCATTATAAATGCCCCTCCCTTGTCCCACCCCGTAGGCCAGGCCAGGCGTCCAAGTCTGACGCTCAGTAAATTTCAACTGTCACGAGGATGGAGGGCTGGTGGTTTTCAACATGCAGCTCCCGTTCGCACCGCGTCCTTTTCAAAATGCTGCTCGCGCTCGAAACTTCCTCAAACGCGACAGCCCGAAGTTCCAACTGACACAAACAGTTACACAGATGAAATGCGGCTCCTTTTCAAGATGGAGATATCATAAAACATTTACGCAACTGGACAGCAGGAGCTGCGGAATTGTGCCACGCTTGCACGACTGGAGGGTATGCCCTCTTCGGAGCAGAGCTATGCCTTTACCCTTCCTCGGACTGCATCATCAAGCCTCTTTGTGTCGCTCTCGGGTCGAAGGGTGGAAAGGGCGGGCCATTGACAAAACTGGTCGCCTGACTGGCAGGCCCGCTGGGCGCGCGTCAATCAAAGGGACGCTTTGCGCAGTGTAGAGGAATGCTTGCAGGGAGGGTGTATTGTATCATCGCTTACGCATCCTTTCTTTACAGTGGTCCTCCTCATCCCCCCATCTTTCGCCACCTCCTCCCTTCTGCCCCCGCTCTCCAACCCATCCTTTTCCTCCTCCTCCTACTCCTCCTCCTCCGCATTCCCTCTCCAATCCTTTCCTCCTCCTCCTTCTGCTCATGCTTTCCTCTCCTTCCCTTTTCCTTCAGTTCCTGATAAGCTGACCTCATCCACCTCCAACTCTCGCTAGCGTTTCTGTTCCTGCTCCGTCATGTCCATCCCTGCTCGTCGCACCACCAGACGTTTCCCTGTGGGCAGGCTGGGCGATTCGTATGAGTCTGTTGTCATGTGTGCTGATGATGATGATGATGAACATGTTCGACAGCAGCACGGATGGAGGGCGGCTGATTTTCAAAATCCTGCTTCTGGAACTAGCGCCATGCGAATGTAGCTCAAACGCTTCTGACATCTATGCGGATGAAGAGTGGGTCATTTTAAGAATGTAGCTGTCGTCTTACCGCCTCGAAATTTCGTTTCAACATTTCCCAGCAGCTACACGGATGGTTGGCGGATGCTGTTTAAAAGGTGTGTTTTGCTTCTAACGCCTCCGACATTCGTCTCAAAGATATCCAACAGCTTCAAGTTTCAAGGGTGTCTTTGTTTCAGTTCGGGGTTGCCGATTCATACATCCGAGAGAGCGCGTTTCACGGGGGCTTGCCTTGGGAACATTCGGCGTCGCGTTTCGAACCGGAGCGTGGGCCCCCCCCAACATATTGCGCCGTCGATCAGAACTAGAGGGGCCCCTCCCCCTTAACCCCCCTCCCAAGGGGGGGGGGCGTTCCGAACCCCCCCCAACCCCTGGCGCCGGCGCTGGCACCGGCGCTGCCAGCCGCCAGCAGCGCCGACGGCGGGGACGCAGCGACGATGACCAGAGAGGGCCCAGGAAGGGGGGGGGGGTCAAACCCACCCCTCCTGCGCCAGCGCCAGCGCCGGCGCTGGCGGCGGCCAGCAGCGCCGACTGCGGGGACGCTGCGACGATGACCAGAGAGGGCCCAGAGGCCACAGAGGGAACACACAAATCGCCAGATCGAGCCCTCGCATGCTCCTCAGACGCCCCCCAGACCCTTACTGACGAGACCTCACGAAGCATCCATTAGAGCTCTAACCCAAAACCAAAACACAATGGCGGGAAAAGCCGAAAGCCACAACACCACCACCACAAACCACCACACCACCACCACCACCGACATCACCACAACCACCACCACAACCACCACAACCCACCACCACCACAACCACCACCATTAACAGAAACCACTACACCACCACCACCAACAACAACGCCACCACCACAAGCACCACCACAACTCACCACAACCCACCACAACCACCACAAACCACCACACCATTACCACCACCATCACCATCAGCGCCACCATAACCACCATCACTACAAGCCACCACCACCAACACCACAACCACAAACCACCACACCACCACCACAACCACCACCACCACCAACCACCCACCACGCACCACCACCACCATCAACACAACAGCCCACCACCACCACCACCACCAACACAAACCACCACGCCACCACCACCGCCACTACCACGACCATCAGCACCACCACCACCTCAACCCACCACAACCACCAAACCACCACACAAACACCACCACCACAGCCACCACCACCTCAACCCACCACCAACCGCCACCCCACCACCACCACCACCACATCCACCAGCACCACCACCAACCATAAGAACACAACAACCACCACCACAACAAAGCCACCACCACCACCACCACAACCACCACCGCCACCACCACCACCACAACCCACAACCACAACAACCACTACCACCACTGTAACCACCATGACAAACCACCACACCACCACCGCCACAACCACCGCCACCACCTAACCTACCACCACCACAACTACCACCACCACAACCAGAGACCACCGCACCACCACCACCACCGACGCCACCACCACCACAACCTCCCACCACAACCACCACAACAACCACCACCACCACTAACCACCACACCACCACCACCACCAGCACCAGCAGCACCACCACCACAACCACCACCACCGCCGTCACAACCACCACCGCCACCACCACTTCCAATGCCCAAAACACCGCCCCAGAGAGGCCACAAGAGACGCCCAAGAGGCGCCCAGGAGGCTTCACAAATACCCTTCAGAAGCCCCCGAGAGCCCTTCGACGAGACCCCAAGAGGCATCCATTAGAACTCCGGCCCAAAACCGAGGCACGGTGGCGGAGCGTCGTCGTCGTCGTCGTCGCCGTCGTCCTTATGGACGCTCTCCGCCGCCCGCCGCCCGGCGCAGGCGCCGGCGCCGGCCTAGAAAAGGAAATCGTCGTCTTCATCGACGCTCCCGCCGCCGCCACCAGCCGCCGCCGACGCCGGCGCCAGCCCGAGGAGAGGGAGAGCGGAAAAGTAGAGGAGGGAAAGGAGGGGGGAGGGTTCGACCCCCCCCCCCCCGTCACGGGAGGGGGAAGGAGGGGGGGGTTCGAACCACGGGGCCCCTGCATCCGGGGAGGGGGGGGGAGGGGGTCTGGGTCCACCACCCCCTTCCAAGCGACCACAGAACGCGCTCTTTCATACATCCCTACACGTAGTGGTCTGAACAAACAGCTTATGAAACAGCTGCGCGGATGCAGGGCGGATTACAACATGATCCTGGGGACGTGGCCGCTCCATTTACAGCCAGTGACCACTGCAGTGGGCCAACATGTTACGAACAATGTCATGGCAAGGAGCGCACTTTGCTGTGACGGTCGAAAGGGAAGCTGGCGCGTTGCGCGGCTCTTTTTTATGACGAGCGGACAGCAGGCGCCCCGCGCATCCGCGGGCGCCCGGGAAGGCGCCGATCAGTCCGGCGCTTTGGGGAGCTGCGCGCGCCGCTGCGCAGCGAGGCGTGCAAAGTCCGCCGCGCTGCCCCCAGCGAAGCGCAGTTGACCGAGAAGGAGTAGCGCCTGCCCGCGCGCCGGCAGCCGCTCCTTCCACCTTGGGCATGCACAGCCCAACACTTCCGCAGGCGCCGCGGCGCTGGCGCTACCCCTGCGAAGAAGGCAGCCAGCATGGCGCCTGGGCGGACGGGGTCGTCGGCGCCGCTGCGCCGCGAAGGCGGCGCTAGCGGAATCGCGTGTCCGGCGGGCGCGGCGTCCGGCGGCGCGGAGGCCCGGCGGGCCGGGGCCCCGCGGCGCACCCAGCGCCAGTCGCGCCGACGGCGGCGCGCTGCCGGCGGCGTCGCCGCTAAGGCGGCCTGCCGCGCGGCAGTCATCACGCGCTGCGCGGCACCCAGCAGCTCCAGCTCCCCGCGGCTCCCCGCGGCGGGCGCGCACCGCGTCTGGCGGCGGCGCTCTGCTCGCCGCGGCGGCGCCATGGCGTTGCCGTCGGCCGCCGCGTTGCCGAGGCGGTCCCTCTCGCTCAGCCCCAGGCGGCGCGCTTCCGCAGGCGTCTCGTAGGCGGGTGCCCAGCGGGCCCGGAGCCGGCTGCTGCGCACGGCGTCCACCAGCAGGTGCCACAGGTCGGCGTTCTCCCAATCCCGCATGTCGGCGCCAGCCTCGATCTGGGCGCACGCCCGCACCACGCACTGGCTGTCCGAGGCGACGTCGATGGGGCCACCGACTACGCGAGCCGCCGCCACCGCGGCCGTCACCTCGGCCCTCTGCGCCGACTGGAGCCCGTCGACCGGGCCAGCGAGGATGGGGTCTGCGACTCCCTCGACCGGGAGACCCCAGGCCGCTCGCGCCAGCAGCGGGTCGGTGGGGTGGAGGCATGCCCCATCGCTCCACACCGTGCGGCGGGGCGCTGCCGGGTTATGCGCCGCTTGGGGCGGTAGCTACGGGTCTTCGCCCCCGGCGGCCTCTGCGAGGGCAGCGAGGAGCGGCGGCGGCGCCAAGACCCCCGTCTGCGCGACCCCCGCCGGCAGCAGCTGCCTCAGGGCACCGGCGTCACTCGGCAGGGTCTCTGATCGTGGCGCCGCAGCAAGCGGGGCGCGCTGTGGGCCCTCCCACGCCGGGCACTGCCAGAAACGATGCTCGTGGTCCTCGGGGGCAAGCCCGCAGTGCGGGCGCGTGCCGGCGTCGCCCTTCCATTTCGCCGCAACGGCCTCGGTCACGATGCTGCCGCACATGGCGCTGCGCAGCGCCGAAGCAGCCTCGGGCGCTAGCGCTGGGGCCGCCGGGAGCGACGCCGGGGTCGCCAGCGGCTGGCGCGGGGCGCTCCCGCTCGAGCGCGGGTTGGCCGAGTTCGACAGGGACTCGGCCAATTCCTGCGCGGGCGGCGCGCCTCTCCTCGGCGTGGCCGAAGCCGAGCGGGGGGCCGCAGGCGCGGCGGCCGCCGGGGCTGCCGGGGCGCCGCCAGGGAGCCCACCGCGGGGACACGCTCGGTAACCCGCCGCGACTGCTCCGCCAGAAACCACCCGTGCGGCGCCGCTGGCACGCCAACCCAGCGCTCCAAGTCGCTTCCCAGGCTGCGCAAGGCCGCGGCGACTGGCCCAACGGCGAGAGCAACGCTGGCGTGGACTGCGGCAGCTGTTTTGCGCCACGTGGCGAGGTCGAGCTGGCCGGCTCGGAGCGCCCGCGCAGCCTGCAGCACAGGGGCGACGCTCATCACCGCCTTGGGTTCCAAGCGCCACGTGGGGCTGAGCACGCCGAGCACGACTTCGGCGGCCGCCCTGGGCCCATGGCCGGTGGCAGCCTTGGCAGCGCGCCGCAGCCGCTCGAGCTCGCACGCGGCCGGGCGATCGCACGAGGAACCAGAGGTGCCCGCGGCCGTGCCGGAGGCTGCCCCCATCAGACACCGCCAGCGGAAGGGCACGGGCAGGCGGCGGATGCGCGCAAAACGGCCGCAGGCCAGCTGCACCCGCCCCGCTGCCACAGGGTGCTTGCGCCGCTTGCCGGCGACCGCGGCGACTCCGAGGTCGCGGATTTCAGTCCCAGCGGCGATCGAGGGCGTCTCGTGCTGGAGCCAGCGCCGCACCGAGGCCAAGTTAGCAAATTGTTTGCTCTTGACCTCGTGCAGCCGCCAATTCATGTCTGCCTCGTACGCCCAGGTGATCCGAAGGGCCTCGGCGACCGCCTCGGCGGTGTCATCTGGGTCCCCGCGTGCCCACAGCGTGAGGTCGTCGACGTGCACTCGGCGCTTCAGACCGTCGTGCACTCGCCCAGTGCGCTGGTGCCACGGCTAGACCAGGACGCTCAGCACGAAAACTGCCAGGGCGCAGCCTGGGAGGATCCCGCTGGTTGGTTCCCACGGGCCGCCGAGAGCACCGTCGACGCGCAGCAGGCCAGGAGCCGCGAAGGTGGCGATGAGCGGGCCGCGCAACCACTCAGGCACGCCAGCTCGCGTCAGCACCAGCTCCAGGAGCTGCAGACTCACGTGGTCGAAAGCCTTGCGCCAATCCAGGGCGCCGCCGCAAATGGCCTCACAGGCGGCCTCTGCAGCCTCGAGCTCGAGGGCGAGGTCCCACGCGAGCTGTTCGGACCCGATGCTGCCGTCAGCGTCGCCCCTCGCCGCGCGCCATCGCGCGAACAGCTGCGCCCTGCCTGCGGCCCAGACGCGGTACAGCATGGGGAGCAGCCAGATCGGCCTGCGGTCCATTGGCCCGCCGCCGCCGGGCTTTGGAAGGAGCAGCCCCTCGGGCCCGCGCAACTGCTCGACTGACTCGAAAATCTCCGCGGTCCAAGCGAACAGCTCGTTGGGCAACAGGCGGAGCTCTGCGACTGCCCATCCGTCCAGGCCAGGCGCCTTGTTCTTCGCCATTCCCCGGGGGATCGCCTGGACCGAGTCGGCAGTCCAAGGGGCCCTATAGGGGAACGGAGGCAAGGAATCCAGCTCGACGAGCCACTGCTCGAGGTGAGGAGTCGCCGGAATGGGCCTCTGCCACAGCGCCCGCCAGTGATGCTCCATGTAGCGGAGCTGGGCAGCAGCGCCGCCCCGCAGGGAGCAGCACCATCGTCGGCCGCCAGGCTGCGCAGCCACCTCGCCAGCGGTGGCTCCAGGAGGGTCTGGCACAAGGGCGGCCGCCAGGGCGCCATCCGAGCGGATCCATTTGTACAACCGGCCTCCGCCGTTAGCCATCGCCTGGTGCGCCCACTCGCGCCAGGAGCCGCGGCGACGGTCACGCGCAACACGCTGCTCCTCCTGGTGCTCGAGTTCTGCCCGGCAGACACAGCTCTCGAGCAGGCCCGGCGCCACTGCGACCCGCTGCAGGTCGGCCGTCCAGGCGCTACCAGCAGGCTCGTCCCTGACCAGCGCTGCTGCGACGGCCCGCGCCTGGTGGCAGCCGAGGCCCCAGCGGCTCGCGGCATGGCGCAAGGAACGCAGCCGTCGCAGCCGCAGCAGCGCGGCATCGGCAGCTTTGTCGCTTGCCTCGCCGCCAGCGCCCGTGGCACGCGGTCGACTCGCATGCCACCTCGTGTCAGCGTGCTGCCGCGCGAGCGGCTCCAGATAGCCCATGCGGCGGCTCAGCCACTGGCGCATGGCAGCTTCCAGCGCGCCCCAGGCGGCATCGAGGCGAGCGTCGCGGAGGCCAGCGCGAAACGCCGCCCCATGCTCTTGCAGCACTTCGTCGGTGACGGCCTGCCGGGCGTCGGGCGAACCGTCCGCAGCAGGCCCAGCGAGCGTCAGAGGTCGCCTCCGCAAGGCGCGCGCTCTGGCGCCTCGACGGCCAGCTCCACGTCGAGCGCCGCGTGCGTCGCGAGACCGAGATCCCAGCGCAGCCCTGCCGACACGACCTGCTCCATCGCCGGCGCAGTGGCGAGAACATAATCGATTCTGGATGGGCTGCCCGAGCTCGGCAAACAGGTGGGCCCCGCACGGGCCAAGACGTCCTGCCAGCCAGCCATGGCCAGGAGGGGCTCCACGCTGGTCCCATGCAGCACGAGGCTGAAGTCCCCCACCAGCAGTGCCGGCACGTCGTCCAGCGACCGCAGCCACGAAATCGCGGCCAGGAGCAACGCCTCGTTGTCCTCGGCAGCGGTCAGGCCGTCAGCATGGCCATAGACCTGCACGATGTGTAAGGCTCGCCGGCCTCCGAGGTGGAGGACTACGCGCATTTATTTGAGTGAGGCAATAACTTAGGTCACGTCCTGCAAAGGTGCAGACGGAAGTACAACGATGATGCCGAGCGGGAATGAGATGGACACCTGTGGGGGCAGATGCACGTGCATGGAATACGAGGAGAAGGGGCGTGGAGTTATATATGAGGATGGCAAGAAGAGAGGAGTAAGCCGGGAATAGAAGGAATGAGTGTAGAGGGCGTAGCTGGAAGGTGTGATAAACATCCTGGAAGTACTAGTCGAGAGGAGAGTGCCGAACGCCTGGAGAGAGGGGCGGCAAATGGAGAGATAATGCAGGGAGGCGGAATGACAGAAATAACGACAAGTAAGGAGGGCGAAGCACGAGAGAGGTCCGCGATGTCTCATTCTTTGCAGGGATGGCGAGATCTCATTCAGGTCTGGGTGGCACTGCGCTGCGCAGGGCCCCCCAGGAGCCCACAGAACTCACGACAGATTTGCAGTTTGCAGGCCGCCCAGGCAAGTGGGGTCAAATTTGGATGTGCAGGGCCTTACCGCGCTGGAGAGCCCCACGACGGGGCACGACGGCCTCCGCAAGATGGGCCAGGAGGCTAGCACTATGTTTCAAGGGAAATGGCCACGACGGCCACTGAGACGCCCAGAGACGCCCCAGAACGTTCCCAAACGGCCCCTCGCATCCCTTCCATCGGCCTCCAGGTAGCTTGCAGCACACTCGAGAGTGACCCATGCGACAGTGTCACGAACCATGGGGTTCCAGAAGACAAGGTCCCTCACGATAATGTCTCACACGATACGATCTCGCAAATATCTGGGAGCGTTCGACGAGGTCTCACGCGACAGGGTCCATTTGGTTACACATGAGAAGTTCACTAGAGAGCCCCACCGAAAGGAACACAGGGAAGTCATTCACGATAAGGGTGCACACGACAACGTATTTCACAATCCTGTTAACTCAAGTCGTTTTTTGCTGCCCTGGACTTATTTTGATCATCGGGACCGTCTCGTTCTGCCCGTCCGAAGTGTCGTCGTGATCTTCGGGCATGCGAGGCATACCACCGGCCTGCCTGGAATGGTCCCCGCACCTTGGTGGTCGATTTCCCGTCCATCTGCACCCGATCTGGATTTTTATGCAGAAGGCCGCATACGGCAGACGGATGCCCCGCTCGCTCCCGCAAAAGGCGGCGGCCTGTTCCGTAGCGCAGGCGCGCCAGAGATCCGTCCAAAGGCGCCTGTTTATAGGTCTCTGGTCGACAATGCCACTGATTATCCTCCTCCTCGTCCCTTCTCCTCCTTCCTCCTCTTCCTCCCTCCTCCTCCTTCCTCCTTCTCTTCCCTCCTCCTCTTCCTCCTCCTCCACCTCCTTCTCCTCCTCCCTTCTCCTCCGCCTGCGGCACCTTCCGCAGCGCAGGCGCGTAGGCCTGGTTGCACCTGATGATCGCCTCGAAGACGTCGCTGTACGCCCGCAGCTCCGCCTGGGCTGCGAGGGCCAGCCGCACTAGCTGGACGCTCCCACACCAGAGCGGACGAGGCCCGGGCCACAGTCCACAGTAGGCAGTCCGATAGCGGCCTCGACGGTCTCAGTGCAAGATCTACGTACGTACCACACAGGCTTGACGCTGCTTAGTGTTCGACTTGACGCCGGTTCGACGTCGACTACTTCGATGTTTGCCTGGGGCCCAGCCACAACTAAACGTGAAGGAACACATGAAGCGGTTGGTCATACAACCATTGTGTATGAACTGTTAGAGTTCACCCCCTGGCAAGGGGCAGAGTGGCCTTATCCAAGGGCTAGCGTGATAGGCTACCCCGTATCTTCCGAACCCATACCAACATGACGCAGCCCGCTACGTGCCCCCCCCCTTTCAAGACTCTTTTGACGCTCCACCGCCTCTATGGTAGTATCTCCAGCCACCCAGATGCTCATGATGGCTTCCAAGATGGCCTCCAAAGTCGCCAACAAGGCCCAAATCTGTCTCAATGGGGCAGCCCAAGTCGCCAAGAAGCTACATTCAGAGGCTGCGACGAGGCCTCGACAAGGCTCTCGAGGCCTCTGAGAAACGATTTCAGTGGAGGGCTACTTATAACATGCTCTGCGTGTCACACACACACATGTTCCCCCCTTTGAGGCCGCAAGGTCCTCAAGAGCTGCCCGAGACTTCGCCAACGAGCGTGCCCCGAAAAGCCTCAGGCGGCCATATGCTGGCCCAGCGCGGCCCTGGCATTGGCCAGGCCAAGACATCTACCAAGCAGCTTAAGATCAGCCCTTGCTGGCCCGAGGGCGCCCCGAGGATCCCTCCAAGCAGCCTCAAGAACCCCTTGGGGCGGTATGAGGAGTTCCCCAGACGGTCCCGAGACCGCCCAAAACAGCGCAAATGGCCCACAGGACGCCTCCGAAGGGCCCCCAAGATCTCTCCGACAGGCCTCCAGGAAGCTCTGGACGGCCCCATGACGTCACACATGTGACGGCCTTCCGGGCCTCTGGGCTCCGGGGAGCTGTCGCATATTATGGCCCCCCGGGCCCCGGGGAGTGCAAGCAACACATGCCCGCAGGACCAATATGTTACGTCGGCGGCGTTCAGAGGGGTGAGGGCGTGGAACGCACGGGCGTGGGGCAGCAGATCTTGCCGAAATCTCTTACGCAAGCGCAATCAAAACGTCAGATCGGCGGGTTACCCCAAAACCCCACCAAATTTAGTTGAACTCGGCGGGTGGTTCGGCCAGCGCGCGCATGTTACGGCCTTCTGTAGACTAGGGGGGGCGCACTGCCACACAATTTCAATCACCCCCTTTCTCACTTGAACGCATGTTGAGGTCCTCGGGGGCCCAGGGAAGAACATTGACACATGCTGCGGCCCAACGTATCGAACCCCTTGGGCGGTACAACTGTCACACTTTACGGCCTTGTCGGAGCGGAGGAAACCAATTGCCATATGTTACGACCCTCGTTGGCCCGGGAAATAAAATTGTCAACTGCTCCCTCCGTGTGGGCCCTGAGGGAGACAACTATATCACATATTGTGACAAGTCAAGGTCGGTCGCAGGTATTCTTAGCCTGGGAAAAACTGCCACAAGTTATGATCATCTTGGCGCTTCTCGAGCAGCCGCCACAAAGAGTGCCGCGCTACACGGTGTCGGCCTACCGCAGCCACCTGGGTAGAGCAAACAGCGTATTTCGGAAATTATTCTGCTTCGAGCGATCCCCGCCGAAACCTTCGGCGATTGTTTCGAACGGTGCGCGCGCCTATTGGAGAGATGTGCGCGGGGCCCGGCGGTCTCGGCCAGCGCGGCGGCCGGGCCAGGTTGCAAGTTGATATGTCCCGAACGTCGAACAAATCCGGGGCCGCTGACGAAAGAAACCGAAACAAGCCCCTGGAGCGACAAGCCAGCCCCCAAAACGAGTCTTGCGAAATCCCCAAATTTGTTCGGAGAGAACTTGCAGCCTGTTGAGAAAGGAAGAGGAGGAGCAGCAGCAGCACGAGAAGGAGGAAGACGACAAAGGCGCAGGAGGAGGTGAGGCGGGCCTCTCCTTCCTCTTCCTGCTCCGGACGCCCCGTCCTCCTCTGACGACGGAGCGCATGTCGCATTTGATGAGACGCCGTAAAATGGCGGTAGTATTTTGCCGTATTCCGTTCGGTTCGATTCTGCCCCAGAGTAGTGTGTGGCATTATGTTGTATTGTGTTATGTTGTGGACGGGCCTGCTTGACGCCGTGACGCCGTTTACGTTTTGTATGTTCTCTATTCGATCGTTGCTGCGCCTGTTTGTTTCTGTGGCCAGCCTGGGCTTGGCGCACATATCGCACATGATAGGTCGCCAGTGCTCGGTCTCTGCTGAATTCGACTCCATCACGTTGTGTTGTGTTCTGTTCTATGCACATATGTGTGTTTCTATTCGGCGTGGCGGCGTGACGTCGTGACGCCTGTCGCGCTTGATATGTCGGCTAAAGGGTCGTTGCCGTGCCTGGTTCTGCGTTTGACGGTGCGCCCTTTATTTGTCGATGCTGTGCTTAACATGGTTTACCTTATGTTATGATCGATAAGGTTCTGATACGCTATGCTACGATAATTCATGTTATGTTGTCGACAGGACGGCGTGACGCCGTGACGCCTGTCACGTTAGATGCGTTGTCCGATTGGTCGCTGCTGCGCCTGTTTGTGCCTGTGGCCGGGCTGACCTCGGCGAACATGCCGCGCTTGATTATTTTATGGTACAGCCTATTGTATTATGACGTGTCTCTTCAAGTTTGTGATTCTCTTCTTGAACAAGTATGCTCTGTTATGTTCACCTCAGTCATTGTCTGAGTTGTTATGATAGGATATGATCTGCTCTGTGGCACCACGCTATGGCAAGATGCGTAAGCTCTGTCAGGTTATGTCGCGCTACTGTATATGGTGCTGCTCTGGGCATGCGCAGTTCGAAAAAGATATAATACGAAGTGGTCGGCAATCAGGTAAAATCTAAATCGTTGGCATAGGGGTAGCAGTTGTACAATATTTCTGCTATGTGATGCTGGTTACAGTGTGCTTAATTCGCTCTATTAAGCTGAATCGATGGCAAGTTCTTTTCTATTGTGCTCTATTATGCCTGTTCTGTTCTCGACGGGCCGGCGGACGTCGTGACACCGTGACGCCTGTCACGACATATACGCCGTCCGATCGTTCGTTGCTGCTCCTGTTTGCTCCTGTGGCCACATTGACCGCGGCGCGCACGTCGCGTTTGCTTAGGTTTAAACCAGTACCGTATGTTGTGATGAGATGCTTTGCCATGTTTTGGCCTGCTGTGAATATGTGTTATGTTGCGACATGGTACGCAACGGTGTGACATGCTACGTTCTGTTCTGTTACGCCATGGTATGCTGTGCTCTGTCTTGTGTTGTTGTTATGTTCTGGTGTTGCAATATGCCCTGTATGCCCCATGATGTCATTGCATGCATTGTTATGGCCTGTCATGATACGCCCTGTTCTGACATTGGATGGAACGATATGCGTTATTATGGACAGCGCGCCACTGGATCACCCTGTAATTGAAAAGGGGGGGGGGGCTCGCAGAACCCCCCCCCACCCCCCTTCAAAGGGGTGGTGTGATTTTCGACCCCCCCCCCCTCCCCCCCTTAAGGGGGGGGAGGGTCCGACCCCCCCCCCCATTGAAGGGGGGGGGGGTCCGGACCCCCCCCTCCCCCTCCCCCCCTTGGCGCTGGAAAAGGGAAAGGGGGGGGTCGGACCGCCCCCCCTCCCCTCTGCGCCGGACAGCGAGCCCGGGAGGGGGCCTCTCTCGCTTCTCCTTTCTGCGCCGGAGAAGGTGTGGATGGAGTACCAAGTTGGGGGTAGGGAGTAGTGAGTTAGTGCGTAGTGAGTAGTGAGTATTGGGTAGTGAGTAGTGGGTAGCGAGTGGCGAGTAGGGAGGTGAGAGAGTAGGGAGTGGGGAGTAGTGAGTAGTGAATAGTGTGTACTGATAAGTGAGTAGTGAGTAGCGAGTAGTGAGTAGTGAGTAGCGAGTAGTGAGTACTGAGTAGGGAGTAATGAGTAGAGGGTAGTGAGTAGTGGGTAGTGAGTTGTGGGTGGCGAGTAGTGATTAGTGAGTAGTGAGAAGTGGGTAGCGCGTAGTGAGTAGTGAGTAGAGAGTAGCAAGTAGCGAATAGTGAGTAGTGAGTAGTGCACTGTGAGTAGTGAGTAGTGAAAGGTGATGAATAGAGAGCAGTGGGTAGTGGGCAGTGGGTAGTGAGTAGTGAGTAGCGAGTAGGGAGTAGCGAGTAGTGAGTAGTGAGGAGCGAATAGGGCGTAGTGAGTAGTGAGTAGGGAGTTGTCAGTAGTGAGTAGTGGGTAGTGACTAGTGAGTAACGAGTAGGGAGTAGGGAGTAGTGAGTAGTGATCAGTGAGTAGTAGGAAGTGGGAAGCGAGTAGTGGGTAGTGAGTAGCGATTAGTGAGCAGTGGCTAGTGACTAGTGAGATACTAGTGACTAGTGAGCAGGGAGTAGTGAGTAGTGAATAGCGGTGAGTAGGTAGTGAGTATTGCGTGGCGAGTATTGGAGTAGCGAGTAGTGAGTACTGAATACTGTGTAGTCAGTACTGTGTACAGAATAGGGAGTAGCGAGTAGCGAGTAGTGGGTAGTGAGTAGTGTGTTGGGGGCAATGGGTAGTGAGTGGTGAGTAGTGAGTAGTGCGTAGTGGAAAATGGGTAATGAGTAGTGATGGGTGAGTAGTGAATAGTGAGTAGTGAGTAGTGAGTATTGAGTAGTGGGTAGTGAGGAGTGAGTAGGGAGGAGGGAGGAGGGAGTAGGGAGTAGTGAGTAGCGAGTAGTGGGTAGTGGGTAGTGAGTAGTGGATAATGAGTAGTGAGTCGTGAGTGGTGAATAGAAGGTAGTAAGAAGTAGAAGGTAGTAAGAAGTGAGTAGTGAGTATCGAGTAGTCAGTAGTGGGTAGTGAGGAGTGAGTAATGAGTAGTGAGTGCTCTGTGGGTCTGGGGTTAGAGGTTGGGGTTTTGGGTTAGGGTGAGGACTAGGGGTTGGGGTGGCGGGGGTCGGGTTGAGGAGTCAGGGGGCAGCGTGGCGAAATGGGGGGGGGGGGGGGGGGGCGGCCAAAGGGGGGGAGGGGGGGTGGGTCCGGACCCCCCCCCCTCCCATTTTGAAAGGCGGGGAGGGGGGGGTGTTCCCGACGACGGACCAGGAAAGGGGGGGAGGGGGAGAGGGCGGGGGTGGCTCCCGACGACGGATCGGGCAAGGGGGGGAAGGGGGGGGGAGGTCCCCGACGACGGATCGAGGAAAGGTGGGGGGGGGAGGGGTTCCCCCCCCCCCCTGGGGAGATCCAGCGGCGCGCCCTCTTTCTTATGCTGCGCTCTGGCATGGTTGGGTTTTCCATGTTATATAATACTATGGACTTTGATGCTGAGATGCGTACGGTGCAGCATGTTCTGCCATCTTCTGTCATGTGAAGATATGGTATGCCATGGTATCGTATTGTATGATTCGATATGTTGTGTTATGAGGTGTGGTGTTATGCCCTGTCCTGTATGACCCATTCTGTCATAGCTTATGGGGTTATGCTATGCTACGGTCTGCTAGAATGAAACGTTTTATGCAGTGCCCTGTGTGATGATGTGTCATCGGCGCTGCGACGCTGTCATGTTATCAATGCTGCGATGCTGGTTTATTGTGTCTTATGCCCGGTTGTGGCATGTAATCCTGTGTCCTATTCTGCCGTGCTATGTTACGCTATGCTCGGTTATGGTATGTTATGTGCGCTCCGATATGTCATAGCATGCGCTCTTATGCTGAAGTGGGCTATCAGATGTGATGTCATGTTAGGTGAGGCTGTGACACGTTCTGTTTTAGTATGTTCAGTTCTGCGATGGTTTCGTCTGGTATTCTTGCTTTGTCAGGTTATGGACTTCCCTGGGCGATGATGCTGTACTATGATATGGGCTGCTCTGTCATAGTTTGTGATGTTACTACATATTATGTCACGATGAAATATGTGGTGCTCGGGTATGTTATGTTAGGTCGTGTGGTGATATGCTCTGTTGTATCATAGCTTATGGTGCTGCGCTGTACTATTTTATGTTGTGTTGTGATACAGCTCTGTCATGTCATGATTTGCCGGCGCGAGGCGGGACTCTCGGGAACACTCGGGAGACCTGGGGATATGGCGGCCGCGGTATGCAGAGCGGCGCGAGGCGGGACTCTCGGGGACTCTCGGGGGACCTGGGGATCTGGCGGCCGCGGTATGCAGAGTGGACGGGTCGGGAGGTCTGTTCTCAAAAACCTAGCGACCCCAACCTGTCGGGTGGGGAACAAAACTAATGGCCACCAGCTGACGGCAAAGGCGACGCCATGCAGAAAATTTGAAATTAACCAAGAGTACACATCACGTGCGGAGAACTCGCTCGTGACATTGTCAGTGTACGACATCACGGCAGATGGCTCCTGCGAAGTCGTGCACGGCGACAGCAAAACCGAAAGCCGACCGAGCAAACAAGAAAACCGAAACTGACCGAAATCGACAGGCCGAGATCAGCCCCAAAAGGCGCAAGAACGCGGCAACACGATATAATCACCGACCGAACCGAACCGACCGAACGCAACCGATTGCGACGCAACCGAGACGACCGAGCCGTGAACACCCTTGTCCTACCACACGTAGCCCAAATCCGCGCAAGCTCGGTCCTTGACGCCCGGAAGCCATCCTGGGCAGGTCTTTACTATGGATCGATTTCCGACGGCCCCGCACCCCGGCACGGGTCTCCCCAGGCCAAAATGGCGGAAAGCAGACTTGACACCCCACAGGGGAACATTTTTGACCCGCGGGCGCAAGGGAAGTCAGACGTCGGTCGAGCAACGGGAGGGGCGCTCCGAAGCGAACTGGGTACTGAAAAGCGGCGGGCAGAAAGGAGGGAGGCGGAAAAGAAAGAGCCGCGCTCAGGACTCCAAGTAGGGGAGCAAACAATGACACAGACACAAGAACTCGGGGGTCCGCTCAAACTTCTTCGATGGACAACCAAGTTGCTCTCATCTCAGGAGAAGGTGGTATTGGACATCATGTCAAGATAATGGTTTTAATTCCCCCCCGTAACATCCGTGACGGGGGGGGGGGTCGGGCTCCAGCGGGTTGGTAACGGAATCGTGGGCGGGCCCCGCAGGAGAGGGGGCTAGGCGCCGGACGACGACGACTACAGCGACGAGGACTAGGACTAGGACTAGGACAAGGACGAAGACGAGGACGAGGACGATGACTAGGACTAGAACAACGACGACTACGACGACGGGCGCCACTGAAGGTCTTCGGAAGTCTCTGCGAGGCGTCTGGAGGCCCTTCGAGGCCCTCAGAAACGACGACGACGAGGACGAGAACGGGGAATACGACGATAACGACGACGATAACGATCGATCACGACGACGACGAGAACATGACGACGACGAGGACGAAGGCAAGGACGACGAAGATGAAGAGGACGAGGAAAAAGACGGGGACGAGGACGATGGCGACGACGAGGACGGCCGCCTCCGAAGATTGCCAGAGGTCTCCAGAGGCTTCGGGAGGTCTCTGTAGTCGTCTGGAAGCCCTTCGAGGCCCGCGGAGGCGACGACACCGACGAAGAGAACGACGACGACTACGACGATGACGATCACGACGACGGCCGCCATTGCAGGAATCCATAAGTCTCAGGAGGCCTCTGGAAGCGTCTGCGGGTCCTTCGAAGTCCTCGGAAATGACAACGACGACGAGGACGAGGACGGGGACAGGGACAACGACGAGAGCGACGACGACGCCGCCGACGACGATGACGACAACGATGACGACGATCACGATGACGACGAGGGCTAGGACGACGAAGACGACGCAGACGACGAGGACGATGACGAGGACGACAAAGGCGACGACGACAATGACGACGACGACGACGACGACGAGGACGACGACGAGGGCAACGACGACGACGGCGATGACGACGACGACAACAACAACGACGACGTCCGCCACTGAAGATGTCCAGAGGTCTCCACAGGCTTCGGGGGGTCTCTGGAGACCTCTGGAGGCGTCGGGAGGAACTTCGAGGCCCTCGGAGACGACGACGACGACGACTACGGCGACGACGACGACGACGACAACGACGAAGACCGCCTGGGAAAATCTCCAGAGGTCTCCAGACAAATCAGGAGATCCCCGAGGCCTCTAAAGGCGTCTGCAGGCCCTTCGAAGCCCTCGGAGACGACGACGACGACGAGGGCGAAGACGACGACGACGACAACGATAACGACGATGACGATAACGACGACGACGAAGACTGCGACGACGAGGACGAAACCGCCGACGACGACGCGATCAAGACACCACGACGACATCGTTGGGGACCACGACGACGAGAGCGACGACGAGGACGACGCCACCACCGCTGAGGACGACGACGACAACAGGACGACGACGGTGACGGTGACGGTGAGGGTGAGACCGACGACGACGACAACGACGACGACGACGGCGACGGCGTCGGCGACGGCGACGACGGCGACGGCCGCCTCTGGAGGCGTCCGTAGGCTATCCGATGCTCGTTTACATCACACCATGCCTGTGAGCATGGCTCCATCGCTGTTGGGGGGCACGTTCGTTATCGTGACGAGGCGGGGCGGACCCCAAAAGGTTTGCCAGGTAGTTCGCTCATATAGAGAAGCTCTACAAGCAGACTTTTGGAGGTCCGCGCGGATTCCTCGTATCGGCGCTGGCTCCCCCTCCCTGGCGCGCTTCGCGCGCCAGGGACGGCGCAAGAGGCGCCGCCAGGGGGGCCCCAGCGCCGATTCGAGGAACCCGCGCAGACCTCGGAGATTTTATGTTTCTGTCGATGTTGGTTCCCCCAGTACTAAGCGTTCGTGGTCAACACCGAACCCCATTGCAAACTTCGAGCTGCCGATGCCAATACACCATACCGGCGCCGCGCGGACAACCCCACAACGGAGTGCTTCTGCCGGGGCAGCCGTTGACCGCTACAGAATGCCAACCTTCCTCCTCCGTCCTCCTCCTCCACCTCCCTCCTCCCTCCTCCGGCGTGCGCAGACCCTCCCTCCCTCCGCCTCCTCCTCCCACCCCCTTCCTCCTCCCACTTCCCCCTCCCTCCTTCTCCCTCCTCCTGGTGCTGCCCCACCTCTTCGCTCCGCCTGCAAGAACAAAAGGCACGACCCACAGAACTCTCCGGTGCGTTATTGCCCACACATCGAGGGGAATCCATCCGTGGCGACGATCAACCACCAAAGCTCCTCCTCCTTCCCTTATCCTCCTCCTCCTCCTCGTCCTCCCGTGCGCGCAGGAACGCGCGGGCTAGGGCAGGAGGTGGAGGAGGGAGCGTGAGAAGGAGGAGGATGTGGAGGAGGATGTGGAGGCGGAGGTGGCAGCAGGAATCGAGAATTGAGGTTTTGGACGCTACCAACTTTCATCGTCCTCCTGCGCCTCCCCCCCCCCGTTCCTCTTCCTCCTCCCCCTTGTTCCTCCCTCCCCCTCGTTCGAGATTCCTCCCCTCCCCCTCCCCGCTCCCAGCTCCCTCCAAGACTCCGCTGGGCCTCAGTCACGTGCGCGCCGGCCGCCTCCCAACTGGGCGGAAGTCGCCTGCCGGTCGTCGTCGTCGACGTCGACGTCGTCGCGTCGCCGCCGTCGTCATCGATCTTCAAATCGAGATTCGAGGATTGAAATAATCGGGTGGCCTTGGGGGTCCTTTCGGGCCTCCATGAGGCTTCTCGTCACCTCGGCTGGATCCGCCTCGAAATCTGGATCAGGACCCGCGCTAGGTCAGGTCAGGAAGTTCGTAGTCGTCAGCGACGTCGAGGATCGAGGATCGAGGTTCGGGGGTCGAGGTTTTCTGACATTTCTTCGCTTTTGCTGTACCTCGGGAGGCCTTGAGAGGCCTCCGTCGTCGTCATCGTCGTCGTCGTCATCGTCGTCCTCGTCGTCTCTTCAAGCCGTGCGTGCGAGACCGCGCGGGGGGAGGAGGAGGGGTAGGAGGAGGGAAGATGGGTGAAGAGGAGGAAGGTAGGAATATACAGCCATAGAGAACGACCGACGACGGCAAGGCGACCACGAAATCCTTGGTCATGATCTACTGCCTAGGCAACAGTCAGCACATAGTGCAGAACATGCAAATGCGACCTTGCCGCTGCAAATCCAACCAACTAACGGATAACAAAGCTGAGACACTCCTGGCTTGAGAAGAACCTGATGAATCCACTGTGTCTAAAGTAACCTCTGCCGACAAAGCGGCAAGATACGAAAGGTGACGAGGACAGAGCGAGGGAGGATGAGGACGACGAGGGGAACGTAAAAGGGGAAGGAGAACAACGAGGAGGACGACAAGGATAAATCCACGTACCCTGGCGGGACTAGTTGGTGCAACCACATCACTGGTTACTCGATTGGTGGGGTAGGAGGGCAGACTCCCTCGCCTGAAGTGTGATGCGATATGTGCCGAAACGTTGCGGTTGATGCAGTGTTTCGCAGCGCGCTGTATGGAATGTCTGGAAACTTGACGCCCCGAGATCGTGGGCATGAGCTCTCGAAATCTCTTCATTAAATGACGATTCCGAGCCTACAAGGAGGAGGATTAGGACGAGTAGGAAGAAGAGAAGGAAAAAGCAAGGGAGGATGACGCAGAGGAGGAATGAGTTTGGAGAGAAGGGAGGAAGAGGGGAATCAGAAGGCTGCTGCTTTTGTTTCAACTCCGGTGGCCCCCAACGGTCCTCTGGAGACGTCTGGGGGGCCTCCGGAGACCGGCGGGAACGCTGAGCGGGGGAGGAGGGATGAGCTCATGAGGCGTTGAACATACTCCTGGGATGAGTTTACGAGGAGGTATGTGCTTGGGATGATTAGCGGAGATAAGCTTCGGAGGAGGCTTTGGATGAGGCTTCGGAGAGGGACTTGCTTGATGCGACAGAGTCTTAGGAAGGGGTGGGCCGAGGTTGGATGAACTTGGGACTCAGGAAGAAGGATGAGCTTAAGCGGGGCCAGCAAGGCACTGAGAGGGTTGACGTGAGGCTGCTCAGTGGTGTGTACGACATGGATGTGGAACACACGTTGCAGTGGCGGGGGCCGTGCGAGAAGCCAGCGCTGCGGTGATGATATTCGATTCCGCGGCTGTCCTCTGTGTCGTCAATACGCCATGGCCATGGCTGAGGCATTGGGTTCCAACTGGCAAACATGGGGGTGCTCACCTTCCCTTACCACCCAACCTCCCCCTACCACCGAACTGTCGGTAATCCGCTATACGAACGACTTGCATGTGAAGTGGGATTCGACAAGGCCGCCCGCCCTCGCCGTTGAGGTTCGCTCTTGCATCGAAGAACCTGCTGCGAATCATCAGCCTGCGACGCCGTGCTGCTACTCTTCGCGTTTTCACCGCCGAAGACACAGCGACTGCACTATGGTCTTAAAGACGGGACTACTTGCGGAAGTCCAAAATATCCGAGCCGATGTCCACTATATGACCGGATGTGCAGACGATACCAATCATTCCGCTGTGGGACACTGACGCCACTTAACTCAAGCGAGCAACGGCGGGGGATAAGAATAAAGTCGAAAACCTGGGCAACAAAGGGGGGCCGTTTTGGCGTCGTCTTGGGAAAAAGGCAAAACCGACATATCATTGAACAAACCGACTGTGCAATTTGAGGAATGCATGTTGAGGAATGCATACCAGGGAGGGAGGAGGGGGAGAAGGAGGAGAAAAAGGAGGAGGAGGAAGAGGAGGAGGAGGAGAGGAGGTCAGGCGACAGAAAGGACGGAGGGAGGAAAGAGCGAAAAGGGAGTATATAGGGGGATGGAGAAGGAGGCGTGCCCAGGAGTGTCCTGGGCGCCAGAGTCCACGTGGCCTGAGACTCTACAAAGCACCTGGAACCATCCGCGACGTATACGGCAGGTGGCAGCATCCAACATGGGGCCGCTGGCCTCTTGTAGCCTGGGAACAAGTCCCTTTTCATTATCTGGAGGTTCTCCAAACCCTTCTTGGAGCGTTCGGTGTACTCCTGAATTAACTGCCTGGGATCCACGGTGGCAGTGCGACCTCGCGCAGAATAGAAGTAGAGTGATTGCCAGAGCCAGAAGCGCAGACAGTGACTCGGATGATCAACGCCCCCCCATCGCCGCCCCCCTCGCCCGAACAACCCCATGGCCGATCGCATCCTGAGCCGAGCCGAGGTCAACGGCTGGGCAGGGCTGGTCACGCGCCTCTAGCATTCCAGCCGGGGGCAACATTCCTGTACAAAGCAAACAAATCCACTTTCGGCCAGTCATGCTTAAGCAATGCGAGCTGCGTGAGAGAGCACCTTGAAAGTCAATGGTTTTCGGACGGCCCGACTTCGGCCGCTCCGCGGTCCACGGGGCCAAACAGATGGAGTCCGCCAGCGACTGGGCGGCCCGCTGGCGAGCCAAAAAACAAGTGGCGTCCCAACGATCAGTGTCAGGCACACGCTGGCCCTGGTGGCAATGTCGCAAGGCGCATGGGCAGCCTCGTAGGCGAACTCATTGGCTGCGTCGTTGCCAGCCGCGAGGAGAGCCTCGCCCTCTGAAAGAGGGGGCCCATGGGATCAACATGGGAGGGGGCCGCGTCAAGACAATCCCATCCTCGGGGCCCTTTACAAATAGACAAATTCGATACCATAGATCGGAATTGACGCCTTCACTGCGAATCAAACGGCGGCGGCGCTGGCCTTCCAACAAGGGCTCCATGTCGGTGACATACTCGACGTGGCCTGGGATGTTACGCAAGGCGTTCTCAGATGCCAGAACCTCAGCCCTCGGGGCCGTCTGGCGTCGGCCCGTCACAGTGGAGGCCCAGCCCTTACGGTGAGACCACGCACTACCATCTCAAGCCGCCGACCACCGTGGCCGCGCCGGCACGTCGGCGACGGGTATCGGATTTGAAATCTCCTCCAGGGCCATCACCCCCTACCCTCACGAACCCAGAGCGGGCCCTGGCAGCGACGGTGGCGTCGGGACCAAGACTCGACGACGACGACCCCACCTCCCACGCAGGGCAGGTTCAAGATGCGGGAGGGGCACCCCTCAGCCACAAAGCTGGATTCGCCTCGCGCCCGCGGGCCTGACGGCAAAAGGGGGCCGATTGGTTGAACGCCCAGTGATTGCGACTCTCGTGGCGCTCCCACACGCGATGAAATAACATTTCGAGCGCGGCCCCGCTTTTAAGACATACGGTTGGGACCTCGTGTCCCGCGTCGTGCTGTCAGGAATGGGTCCACTGCGCTCCTGACGCGACAGGGGCCAGGAGCCCTACATGGTCGCTCGTCACACTGCTCCAGCCTGCGGCCCTCTTGGCGGAGGGGGGTGGAGGTCAGCCCCCCTGACGAGGTCCTCGCCGCGTGAGTGGCGAGAGGCCAGCTCGCACATCGTCCTTGAAATCCGCAGTGGGCTCCGAAACATCGAAATCGCCCTCGAGGCGCCCGACGCGGTCGCGATCAGGAAAGCGCCGCGCCTCGAACTGGCCCAAGGCCGCGCCGTTCCACGTGAAACAGCGGTTTCCAACCAGCGTGCAGCAGCGTGGCGACAACGGCGCCGATCGGCCCTCGGACCCGACGCCAACGAAGAGGAGTCATTATATCGTGCCAGCCTCGGATGCGACGCCACGCTCGCGTCGTCCGCACGCGCCTGGAGCTTGACGGACATCCCGCTGACTGAGCAACCTGACGTCTGAAACGCCGAATGGAAGATGTCGCGAGCCCCATGGCCTGATGACCGTGCACGGCTTGGGGAAGGGCACCTGGGGCCAACGCCCCTGAGACACCTTGGCCGCCCCAACGCGCCGACGCATGCGCATAATGCGCTGCGCACGTGGCCCCGTCTTCCTGCGGCGGTCCGCGAGCTTCTTCGCCGCCCGACGAGCGCCCCCCCTCGCGTCGCGCCCGAGATCCACCGCCTGTGCGCCCAAGGAAGCTGGGGCGCCCACATCGCGGAGACTGGCGAGGGTGCGCTCGCCCGCGCGGGGACAGGGTGCAATGGCCTTGGTCTTGGCCGACGCGGGCAGGTCACGCAAGGCAAGCGATCTGGCGAACGATTTGCCCGCCTGGGAAAGCTGGGGGACAACGCCCTCCTCAGCACCTAACGTTCGCGCCACGGCGCCACCACAATGGCCCAGAGCCACGAGGGGAAGACCCGGGCCCGAACGCCAGAGGCAGCATGGGCCGCCGACGAGATCGGGCCAAAGAAAACTTTGGCGAGTGTGTCACCGCGCGCCGAGCCAGCCACGGTCGATCTCGTGGTGAGGGTTCACGCAGGAACAACACTCATGGACATCAGATCCTGGGAACGGAAAACATCTGAACCTCGAATGTCGAATGGGGCAATGATGGGCGGAAAGCCCTGCCGGACAGAAGCGCGCATGAGCAGCAACGCGCTCATGCGATCGTGAACTTTCCCGAGGTCGAGAACGATGGATGCAGACGCGAATCCAGGCTGATGGTAAGATTCGTCGAACATCGCCCTCTGAAGCGCGGCTCTCATGGCCGACGACCCTCGAATGGCCGCGCCCCAAAATTCACCGAGGTCCTTGGACCATTGATCCGCGATGGGGCCCCAAGTTTTCGACTGCGCCACCAAGTAAGTCG